GACAATCCTTCAGCATTGCCTTCCTGCTGAGGAAGGGGCCAGGCTTTTATGCACCCACATGTGTTAGAGAGGGATGTGACCTCATTCATGAGACTGCCCTTCAGCTCAGGCCTTTTCCTCAGGAGCTAACAATAGAGGATCTCTCTCTGCCAGCAGTCCAATCAGCAGCCAGAGAGGTCCCTCACAGTCCTCTACCAGCGAACAAGCCTCACATCAGCATCCCAACTAGGGAAGTCTTGAGTGTAAATACTGCATTTATGAATCATATCTAGTAAATTTTATTATCAGACACTCTTTACACACTCATCCCTTCTCCAACCCTGTAAATATATTTTTGTCCTTATAATAATATTTTTAGCCTTGTGGCAGTCTTCAAAGGTGGACCCAGGATCCCTTTTGTCAGTATGGCAATGCTCACGTTAACAGCTGGAGGGCACGTCCCTTCCTGTTGTATGTGAGCTGGACTTGTGGCTTGGTTTCATCAACAGAATGCAGTGCAAGTGATGCTCTGGCTTCCAAGACTGGGCCGTTGGGATTCTATCAGATTGTAATTCTTCCTTGGAAGCCAGTTGTCACGTAAAAGTCAAAATACTCAGAGTTATCATATTTTGAGGTAGCCCAAACTACACAAGCGGAGCGAAAAAGAATGTAGAGGGAAACGCTGAAAACTGAACAATATTGTGAAATCCTTTCTATGCCTTTTTGTAGAGTTGCATATATTTATTTATAACTGTATAAGGACAATTTCAGACCATTTCAAAGTAAGTGAATTCATCTGTTAATTAAGCAATGTGCTAATTGGGCTTTAGGTTGTACTGTTGTTATGTAATTCACAATTTTTCTTCTATTTACATACTTCTATGATAATAATTATACATTCAGTTAGCATAGTCACTAAATATCTAATTTATTATAATATTTGTTTATGGTACAGTGTCTCTCCAAATAGTCAAGTTTTCTTAGAATCTTTAAACTATCCGTAATATGATTTCACCATTAAAAAAACAGTGGTGCCAGGCGCGGTGGCTCAAGCCTGTAATCCCAGCACTTTGGGAGGCCGAGGCGGGTGGATCACGAGGTCAAGAGATCGAGACCATCCTGGTCAACACGGTGAAACCCCGTCTCTACGAAAACTACAAAAAATTAGCTGGGCATGGTGGCGTGTGCCTGTAATCCCAGCTACTCAGGAGGCTGAGGCAGGAGAATTGCCTGAACCCAGGAGGCGGAGGTTACAGTGAGCCGAGATCGCGCCATTGCACTCCAGCCTGGGTAACAAGAGCGAAACTCCGCCTCAAAAAAAAAAAAAAAAAAAAAAAAACAGTGGTGCCTCTAGATAATTTGCTATTAATTAGATGTGAGACAGAAGATACAATGACTTTTCTTCGTGTGTTAGGATTATAAAGGAATCCCTGGGGTTGTTTTGTGCTATGATTTTCATGTTGCAGAAGTCAAGAAATTCACAATTATAGTCCCTCTACAATCTTTGATAGATTCAAAATAGTTATTATATAACATAAAAACATAGTATCATCTAGAAGTAGGACCCACCACCTTTATTTATAAGAAAGGGTTGTAGTTACTAAGGGATTCATAATTTAGACTCATAAAATATGAGTGTTAGAAAAACAATGATGTCAACATAATCTGACTTTCATGATGTTACATGGCAATTCTCACTTGATATCATTTTTCAGGTAATTGTAAGTTGAAATCATTTCAGAGCTGATTATAAATCCTTAAGTGAAGAGAAAACCAAATTCGGTTTATAAGACATGATATATTCCTTACATTTCTGAATTCAGAGATACCATTATACATGGCCACTCCTACAGTGAAAATTTGTAATATCCTCAACATAATCTGAATCTAACTTTGTCGGCAGTGTCTGCAAGTAGAGACGTAGCAAAAACTTTACTCTGGAATAAATTTCAAATTAAAGGGAGTAGAACAGCTGCTTCACCTGAGAATGTTTGCTGAGGAGTAATTGGTCCCACTGTGACACCAGCTCTCCCCACTAAACAATTGTTTGAAGTCATTAAGCTTTTGTCAAAGTAAAGTATAATAAGTAATGTGCAGGGAAGCATGAGTAATGTGCAACTTGGGGTAAGCTGAGAGAGTGGTATATCTTGCCCCATGTTGTCCTGGGGCGAGATGGAAAGGCATATTATGCTGATCATAGCAGACATTAATGTTATGTTGACAACAGGACTTGATACAGAGCTTTTACCAGTCAGTCTTGCCTGAAAACTATGAATTAACAAGAAAAAAATAAAAATAAAAATATGGTTAGGCTAGACTGAAAGATTTTTAATGACAGTATCTGTGTATAATTTATTCATTTACTCAGTCACAAAATATTTATTATGCCTCTTTTCCTTGTAGAATAAGGTGCTAGGGGCCAGGAGTACAGTGATAACAAGACAGAGATGATCCTCATTAAACTTGTGTCTTAATTAGGGAGTCAGAGTGAACCATAACAAAAACATCATGGATAATTAAAACACTTCAGTAGCTTTCTGTTGTCATTAGAGTAAAAATCCACATATTTAATGTGGCCCTAAATAATCTTTTTTGTAGTTGATAAGGTTCCCTCAGATACAGATTATTTAGTTCACCAAAATAATCTTTTTTATAGCTAATAAAGTTGCCTCCGCTATAGAATGATGAGTGCATGTGAAAGCACCAAGCTTATGTGCAGTAAGATTAAAAAGGAGAAGATGGTCATGTGGGTTAAGTTATTGGCAATTTGTTTGAGAGATGGATAGATTGACATGTTAAATTTATGAGCAGCAGGAGCCTGGGACTTTTGTATAAAATGTTAGTTTAGAGAATAGCTATGGAGATTAGGGACTCCGGTTTCAAAACTAGAGCATTCTTTGTCTGATGCATGGTGTTGGAGATGTCATTAGCTCCCTGAGGCTGCTGTGAGAATTCTCGGATGTCACCTCTTTCCAAAATACTTCTCATACACTTTCTCTCAGTTGGTTCCATAGCTTCAATTGCATGCATTTTAGAATTCTTTAACGTATATTTCTTCTGTATTTAAGAAGCCAGATAAAAAAAGAAAAAGCTTAACATTGTCAAGGATAGCTGACTTTTCAAAAGGAACAATGGAAACTAGAAAACAATGGATGGGAGACTTCAAGTGCTAGGGGGAGAAACTGCCATCCTAGGGTTTTGCATGTGAACATTCAGATCTTTTTATGCCTGAAAGCAAAGGACAGAGGAACTGGCTTTAAGGTGTTCTGTTACTTTGATGCTTAAAAGTATTGACTTAAATGGATCAATAGAAGCAGCAAAATAACAATTTTGTTAAAAGATTATAATGAATTGAATTTAAAAAATCAGTCAATGAGTATATGGTTGTGGGGAACGCTCCCGTGTGAGGCCCCCTGAAAATGGGCCTCACAATACGGAGGGCTCGAGCCCAGACACAGTGTCTCCAGTTGAGGGAGTCGAGCAATCAGAAAGCAGGAACAGAGAAAGACTTAGGTTAAAGTTAAACTTGTGGGCACTCGCCAGATGGCCATGCAGCCATGAGATGCATTGTGTACGATAATTGAGTTTTCTACTAAGTCATGTTTTATGACTTCGCTGATTTTCTCTAGAAGATAAATGACTTACCCTTAGATGAGATGGTGTGACCACATGTTCTGGTTATTAAATGACTTGCCCCTGGATGAGATAGTGTGACTACCTGTTCCGGTTAATTGTGTATCTGCCCTTTCCATTGTTCTTACCCTATGATGTTGATTTTTCTACTTTAAAACTTTCTGTACCCCTTTGTCTCATGTAGACACATACCTAAAAAAGATATATATACTGACCCTGAGCACGAATAAAGTTGTTGGTAAAGCATATGCTTTTCAACTCTCCAGACCCCATCTGTCTGTCATTCTTTGTCTTCCGTGCACCCCCCTATCCAAGTTGGAACCCTCTTGCAGGTCGAGAGCTCCTGGCAGATGTGCTCCCGATATATGGTAATATTGAGAGAAAGAAAATAAGAGAGAATGAAAAATGGGGAGGAAAGGAGAGAGAGAGAAGAACAAGAATAAGCTCTAATTTACAGAAGTATTTGAATTGCTAAACTTAGAAAAATTGATAGTATAAAAATAATTATTTTTCAAATTTCCCAAAGCAATAAATATTTTAGGATAGAATCACCTATGGATAATAAAACCATTGGGTAGATAATTGTTACAAAATAGATTACCAGCACATGTTGAAAGTATTGCAGAGATTAAAAACAAAGGAAAATGCCTGTGAATCATTCTGCTTGGGCTACCATAACAAAATACCATGCATGACAAGCCAGGTGAAACAACAGAAACTAGTTTTCACACAGTTCCACACAGTTCTGGAAGCTGTAAGTCCAAGATTAAGGAAGCAGAATGGCTGGTTTCTGGAGAAGGCCCTTTTTCTGACTGGTACATGACTGTCTCCTTATTGTATCTCCCTACAGAGGGAAGAAAGAGACGGAGAGAGGGAGCAAGTTGTCTGGTGACTCCTGTTATAAGGGCACTAATCCCATCATGAGGGCCTCACCCTCATGAACTCATTTAATCTTAATTGCTTTCTTGGAGTCCCCATCTTTCAAAGCAACCACACTATTAGGGGTTAGGGATCCAACACATAAATTTTGGGGAGACACTAACATTCACTCCAAAATATAACTCTAAAGTGAGAAGCTCTGAAGGCCACCATCTGCCCACCTTACTGTATTGATCAATTTAGCATTGCCAGTCATGAAGTCACAAGACAAGCTGACATTACGTACCTCCTGATGTGATGTGAGATGTGAAAACAACTAACTCAACATCACCTATGTGATGTACTTATCTGGAATGATTACCGTGAACCTGTTTATGAGGTGAAATCCACAGCTGAGACATCCTATAAACTGAATTTCCTGGACTAGTCAAAAATACCAAGTATCACTATAAGCAGAAAGAAAGCTGAAGGAATTTAAAAGGTTAATACACTACAGAATCATAAACCTAATGGGAAGTGTGTTACAAGCTGGTGTCCCAAGGAAGCTGACTCTGGCGATTAGAGCACGAGCATTTAATGAGGTATGTTTTTCTTCTCACCCCTCCTTCCCCCACTAGACAGACCCCACTGTATGTTGTTCCCCTCTCTGTGTCCATGTGTTACCATTGATCAGCTCCCAATTATAAGTGATAACATGTTGTGTTCAGTTTTTTGCCTGTGTTAGTTTGGTGAAGATACTGGCTCCCAGCTCCATCTATGTCCCTGCAAAGGACATGATCTTATTTCTTTTTATGGCTGCATACTATTCCATGATGTATATGTACATTTTCCTTGTCCAGTCTCTCAGTGAAGGGCATTTTGGTTGATTCCATGTCCTTGCTATTGTGAATAGTGTTTCATTGAACATACATGTGCATTCTGCTATAAATAGGTGTGTTCTTTTAAGCCAAGAACAATTGTCTGGGAGAAGTGTTGGCCGGGAATATTTCCGGTAGCTGGAAGAATATATGTCTTCTAATCTTAAGGGTAGATCTGAGAAGCATATCAAAATTTCCATGACAAAGCATGAAATGGGATTAGATCATGAATTGTATGATTTTATTCAAAACATTTTTAGAAAAACATCTTGAAGCACTTTGAAAAATTTTAATATGGGCTGCATAGAATTATAAACTGTTGAGTTAATGTTAACATGGATGTAATAGTGGCATGGTTATTATGCATGTTCTTATTTTTAGGAAACTCAACATTAAATAATTGGAAGTGGCAAATGTGACGAAGTGTTAGAAAAACAGTAATTTGTGATTTTGAGTCTCACAAAGTGTGTTAATTGTCACTGGCTGGGAGAATCTCTGATTCTGAACATTTCCTGCTTTATTAATCTTGGGCCTCTACTGACATTTTCTGTTACATTGCTCTTTATGCCCCCAGCATCATTGATTTGATTTTCTAATTGAGAGCACAACTTTATAAATGTCAACTTGCTGGTAAACAACATGTAATATATGTAATATATGAATGTAAATATCAAATCATGGTATGGCCTTTGGCTTGGAAGTGTATTGTCTGGGACAACAGCTATCAACATCAAGCAACTAAGGTCACATCAAACTGTCCCATTCCACAAATATTTTCTGAGGCACTGACATGGAGGTCATCATTTCAAGCGTGGAGAATGCATCATGAGACAGGATCCCTGCACGACATCACTGGGACAGATCCACGTTCCATGCCTACTTTGCTCTCCCAATAAAAATGCTGGTAGTTTCCAACACAATTGGCATATAGTGTCTAATACAGAAATGACTAATGGTTAATTTACTTGGTGAACAATGTCATAGAAATAATTTGTCAACTAACTTTTTATTCCACATGACTTTTTCTGATTTTCATGTAGGATGTGAGTTTGAAATGGTTTAAGTTCCTGAATATCACCTGAGAAGAGTAACCATATAAATAAATAACAAACTTGCTATGCTTTGGGAATAATAAACTGCATTTTCAGAAAATGGTCTGTTGGCATTCTTGGGGAAATCTCTATATGCTTGTTGATCAGTCCTTTAGAGAAAATTTTTGGAAAAGGACCCAAGACACATTTCATAGTAGCAGTGGAATGTTAATGACAAAAATTGTACTTCACCATAATTCTTATACATTTAGGAGAAGATTTTTTATGAGATTACTGGACTAAAATTAATTTTTAAAGGTGTTCACATATGAAGAAATAAAACACTTCTCACAACCTCACCTGAAAAAAATTGTTCCCCAGTGCTACTAAAATAATTTTCTGAGAATGAGAACTTACAGTGCAAAATCTGAAGCCAGAATCTTGGGTATTATGATGGCAGAATTCTATGTGAAAGCAAGTCTGATTTTGTTTCCAGCATAGTGTTAACTGGCAATTGCTGGTCCAGAATGAGAATGCATACAAAATTTCTTAGATTAATGAGCTCCGATAAATGTTGACTTTTCTCATTCGTCTGCAATGAGAACCCGGTCTTTGCTCAACTGGTTTATGAATAAGGATGGCAAATGAATGAATTACAAAATTGTGACCATTCCAATGTATGCACTTATGGGTCCTCATTCTGTTTGACTCCTCCTTCCATAGTTACTCTAGTATCCTGAAACTCCACACAAGATACATTCATTCACTTTAGTACTGTAAAATTTGGAATAGCAGTACCAAAATTTTTGGTTCTCAAAGGATAATCAGTATACATTTAATATCTCATATGTGAATATCCAGTAATACAAAGTGGCCTCAATATAGTTACTGATAAACAAATATGTATTACTTTCAGCAATTTTAATATATCACTAAAATTTATCTTCATGGTATATAACTTGCAGATCTTAAATAGGGTCTTGAAAAAATCATTAAAAATGTTTACATGCTTTATTAAATATAATTTATATTAAGTATAAATGTAAGATTAAATAATAAAGGAATAAATTACGTGGCTCACGCCTGTAATCCCAGCACTATGGGAGGCTGAGATGGGCAAATCACCTGAGGTCAGGAGTTTGAGACCAGACTGGCCAACATGGTGAAACCCAGCCTCTACTAAAAATACAAAAATCAGCTGGGTATGGTAGCAGGTGCCTGTAATTCCAACTACTTGGGAAGCTGAGGCAGGAGAATAGCTTGAACTCAGGAGGCAGAGTTTGCAGTGAGCCGAGATTGAACGCTTGCACTCCAGCCTGGGGACAAGAGCAAGATTTCTCAAAAAAAAAAAAAAAAAAAAAAGGGTGCCTTGGACATGTTTTGATGGATTATATACACTCATCAAACTACCTCCCTAGGTAAAGATAATAGGCACACCTGTCATCTCAAAAGTGTCCTTAGGGCTGTCTGTAATCCACTGCTCTAACCCTTCCCTGACTCTGTCCTCCATCTTCTTTCTGTCCTTATGCATTAGTTGCATTTCCTAGAATTTTACACAAATGAAAATTATTACTTGTTGTCTGGCTTCTTTTGTTCAACCTAATTATTTTGCTATACACACATGCTGTTGCAAGTTTCAATATCTCATTCCATTTTATTGCTGAGTAGTATCGTACTGCATGCATATACCACAATTTATGTGTACCTTCACTAGTCAAAGGACGTTTGAACTGTGTCCAGTCTTGGGTCATTAGAAATAAAGCTGCTATGAACACCCTATATATTAACATACTTAACTGTGTACAAATATGTATGTATTTTTCTTACATAGCTAGGAATGGACTGGTTGAATCACATGGCATGGTAGGTAGATGCACATTAAAAAAACTCTGTGGAACTCTTTTCCAAAGTGTATCATTGTATATTTCTCCCACAATGCGGTAATGTCCCAGCTTTTCCTCATCCTTGTCACATTTGTTTTTAAATTTTAGCTATTATAACAGACATGTAGTAGTAACTCACTGAGCTTTTAATTTGAATGTGTCTACTGACATCATTTTGAGCATTTTGTGCTTTTAAAATGGCAATAATAATTATGAATATTTATTGTGTATAATGTGGGTTTTTTTTTTTTTTTTTTTTTTTGAGACAGAATCTCACTGTCACCAAGCCTAGAGTGCAATGGTGAGATCACAGCTCTCTGCAGCCTCAATCTCTTGGGCTCAAGTGATCCTCCTACCTCAGCCTCCTGAGTAGCTGGAACTACAGGTACATGCCGCTATGGTCAGCTAGTTATTTTACTTTTTGTAGAAAAAGGATCTTGCCATGTTTCCCATGCTCGTTTTAAACTCCTGGGCTAAAGTGATCATTCTGCCTCGGCCTCTCAAAGTGCTAAGATTACAAGTGTGAGTCACTGTACCCAGCCCAATGTGACATTTTGATCTATGTATGCATTATAGAAAAATTCAATTAAGCCAATTAAAATATCAATCAACTCACCAAAGACCTGAGATTATTCAGATATAGTCTTTTAGCAATTTTTAAACATCATTATTATTAATTGTGGTCATCCTGTGTCATAATAGATCACTACAATTTATTCTTCCAATCTAAATGAAACTTTTTACCATGTGATCAACACTTCTACTTCCCCATCTTCCTCCATCTGGTAATCTACCCTTTTAGCTTCTGTTTCTATAAGATTTGCTTTTTTAGATCCTGCATACAAGTGGAATCATACAGTATTTGTCTTTTTGTGTCTGGCATATTTCCCTTAGTGTATGGTCTTCCAGTTCCATTCATACTGTCACAAATGACAGAATTTTGTTTTAAGGCTGTATAGTTTTCCACGGTGTATGCACACCAAATTTTCTTTATCCATTTTTTCACTTAAAGACATTTAGTTTGCTTTCAAATCTTTACTATTGGGAATAAAGTTAAAGTGAATTTAGGTGTGCAGATGTCTATTTGAAATTGTAATTTTATTTATTCTGGATATATACCCAGAAGTAGGATTACTGGATCATATGGGAGTTGTATTTTTAATTTTTTGAAAAACCTCCATACTGTTTTTGATAATTTCTGCACAAGTTGACATTCAAGGATTGCATTTATTCCACATCCTTACCAATACCTTATGATTCATCTTTCAAAGAGCCATTCTAAAAAGTGTGAGGTGGTATCTCATTGCGGTTTTAATCTGTATTTGATTAAATGTATTGAGAGTTTTTTATATACCTGGGGCCATATATATCTTTGAGAAATGTCTGTTTCCCTTCCTTGTCATTTTCTAGTCATGTTATTTATTGCCTTGCTATTGAGTTATTTAAGTACCTTGTATATTTTAGATATCAGATCCTTATCATCATTGTATGACCGGCAAATATGTTCTCCCAATCTGTTGGTTGTCTCTGATCTCTGTAAATTGTTTCCTTTGCTGTGCAGAAGCTTCTTAATTTGACAAAACCCTCTTTGTCTATTTATGCTTTTGTTACCTGTGCCAGTGGAGTCCTATCCAAGAAATCATTGCCCAAACCAATGTTAGGGAAGTTTTTTTGTTCCTTATTTCCTTCTAGAAGTTTTACAGTTTCAAGTCTCATGCTTAGGTCTTTTATACATTTGAGTTGATTTTTATATATGGTGTGAGGCAAAGATCTTTTTATTCTTTATACTTTTATTCTTTATACTTTCTTT